TCTCATGACATTCACAAATAGGAACTTAAGGTGGGCACTCATGGCTATAGGTGGCCGGATGGCACCAGAGGGCACCACTCTCGCCTCCTGTGCCTGTGCACCCCCCAAGGTTTTCATATAGACACTTAGGGTTTTGGGTTAGAGTAGTGGTGGAGGGGAAACTGGCACCACGCCGGCCTCTGCCTCTTCTTCTTTCCCTTTTTAATTACTCTATAGAACAAGCAACAACAGTACATCTGGGGGTGGGGGTGTGGGTGTCAGGGTCTTTAGTCCCATCCCGTTCCCCAACTGTCATTTGGGGAGGGTGTCCTGAAGAAGGGTGGGCCACCGGGTGCGGTCCTGGGCTGTGGGTGGGCTTGGGGCTTGGATGGTTGCCGGGGGCGGGGCTAGCTCTCCATCCTCCCTAGTGCTGCTTGGTCTCCTGAGGTGTGGCTCTTGGTTTCTGTGGGTGGTCCCCTGGCCGGGGTGGCTGCCGGGTTCCGGGGGGTGGACGGCTGGGGGGGTGCACTTGGTAATTGGCGGTGTGGTGGGGTCATCATGGGTGTGGCTTCTCTGCGGCGGGGGGCTGGCCGGGCGTCCTGGTGCGGCCCGGGCTGGGCCTTGGCTATCTGCTCCTCTCCACCTCAGAATGATTGRGTCTACCTCCTGAGTTTGGGTGTGTGCTGCCTCCAATAGGGGGTGGGTGCATGTCCTGGACCTGGGGAGTATAGAGTGTGTATCAGGGGTATGAGTGGAATGTGGCGTCCTTGTATGTCTTTGATTGAGTCGGGGTGAGGATGAGGGTGGGATGGTGCGATTGTGTATGTTTGGGTATTTGCCAGGCTGCGGTCTGGGCTGCCCCTCCTGCTGGTTTATCTGGGGGCCCGCTGCTACTCGGCCCCCCAGTGGGGTGTGCGGCTGGCCGCCGGCGTGCTGGGGGTTCCCGGGGTCTGGGGCTGGGCGCTGGGATGTGTGCCAGCCTGGCCTGGTGACTGCCTGCTGGGGCTCGGGGCCTCTGGCCCTGTCAGGCTTTGGCTTGGAAGGGGTGCGCCCTGGGGGCCCGGACCTCTGTGCCCTTTCCTGGATCTGCTCTGGTATGGTGGGTGCCGGTGGGGCCCATGAGTTTGTCGCTGCTGGCCCCGGGGGCTGTGCGTGTGGTTGCTGGGCGGACTCACCCAGTTCTCCCCTATGGTCTGATCTGGGGGGTGGGTGGGCGGATCGTCCCGTGCGGGTGCCCCTCGGGGCTCTGCGCTYGGGATCCCTCTCGGGCCCTTGGGCTCTGGTCTTCCCTATGTCTGCCTCGCGTCTTGGGGGTTGGGTCTCCGGTCCTCCACAGTCACKATTAAATATTCCATTGGAGAAATCTTGTATATACACGCATGTTCACAACCGCTCACAAACAGGTGTTCTGATCCGGGGGGTTCTGACAGGTCACTGAGTGTGTATATATGTCTGTGTGTACATACTGACAATATTTATGAATGTAAGCATGCATGTATGTATATCTTTATATATGTATGGGTATGTGGATACTGTATATTTATATATGCCCTCCATGTATTTATCCATTTATTTTTCAGGTGAGCGGACAGATGTTGGGTGTGTGGTCCTGTGTTTTGTTTAATATACTTCTAATCGCTATGTCAATCTTTCTATCTTTCTAAATACTTCTCTCTCTGTTTTTCTCTCTGTCTCTATTTTCTCTTCACTTAAAAAGTCACTGATGATGAAGAAATAAATAAACTAAATAAACTAATAATTGGTTTTGTTTTCTACTGAAGTGACCCAAAAAAAAAAAAGAATTAAAAACAAAACAAAACCAAAAAAACTTTCACTTTGTTGTGAAACTTCTGGGACAATAATGACAGATTTTTGGAGAGATGTTGTTGGTGAATTCAACCTGCAGAAGAGGTTGGAAGATGGCTGTTTGATATACTTATTGCTTTTTAAATCATCCTACAGGCTCTGACATGTTAGATAAATTTGAAAATGACGTTTTGAAAAAATCCAGAAGGCTTGAAAAAATCCGTGAGATTGCTCTATTCGTCCGTATACCTGCAAAATGACGTAAAATCCTTATAACTTACGGACAATCCGTACAAGCTGACATGTATGGAAACATGTACTCAGATTCTAGCACAATAAAAGCAAGCAATAAAAGAGAACAAGAAAAACTTTCAAATAAAGACAAAAACATGCTTGTAACACGCACATAAAAAGAGGTCAGATTGGTGTAGGTTCATAATCAATAAAATAGCAGGTTGGCAGCATAACAAAGTTTTATTCATGTCATCTGTTAAAAAATCTTGGATTTTTTCACAATGCAATATATATCGCAGGGTCAGAAAAAAAATCTAAATCTCATTTTTTCCAATATTGTGCTGCCCTATGTAAGATAATGAAAGTGCAGAAATCAGTTGTAATGTGAAAAACCTAGCTGTAGATGGCTAATGGCCTGTAAACCCTTTTATGATCAGTGTAGCAGACTTCCTGGACCACTCACAATTTCTTTTGTGGAAGTGGTTTTAATAAAAATTWGATCCAATGTGCAGYCAGACAAGGATGMTATTTTCTATCCTGAACATTTGTGAAGTCCTGTTTTATGGATGGTACTCAAATGTCAAGCTGGAGCATACACAGGGTTTAACAAAGGGGTCACCTGTGACCTTGAGATTTGACCCTGTCACCTTAAATTCAGTAGGGCTCGTTCTTGACCCATGACATATACAGTTATACAGTTTAACAATACGACCAACATAAGATGAGCAGTGTTGTAGTGTTTGAGCATAAAATTTTTACAAAGAACTTTTCCCTCCAGGATTGTATWCCTCGGTATTTGTTTAAATGCAGATTAAAGCAACACCAGAAAAAGATGCAACCTCTCTCTGAATGTTGTCTCAGATGGCCTTTTGATGTAAAGTTTAAWCGTTCACTGAGTTTCCCTTCTGGGGGCCGTGTCTGTTTGTGACATTGTGGTGTTTGATGGGTTTTAGMACATCACCCAGAGGAATGACCCCGGGCAGCCGCAGCCTGAGTTCAAAGAGCTGCACAAATCCATGCAAAGCTTTGCAAAACTGATAGGAACAGAACACATGCCTTTTCCCTTCGTCTTTATATTTCAATGGCTAGCACAAAAGAACAGTGAAAACAGAAAGGTTATCAGGATGGTAACAAGTTGATTATGGAGGAAACACAGAGTGGAGAAATTCACTTTGATTGCCTTCAGAGGATAATGGATGTCAAACAGCAGCTAAAAGATAACACAGGACCATAATTATCAGCTAAAATGTCCTATACCTGCACCACAGTGTAAAACAACAAACTTCTTTTATGACTCAGCGTGTCTTACCCTCTGCAGAGTCCTGTGAGTCGTCCTTTTGCGTCTCCTCTGCGTCCTCCTTCTCCTCATTGCCTTGCTGCATAGTGTCCATTTTGGAGACRTCAGTCTCCTGGTTGTCGTCTCCCTGTGGCGCAGCAGAGACGGAGGTGGTGGCTGAGCTTTGGGACCCTGGACGAGATGTGCTGCGGTTGCTGTTGGGCTCCTGGGCCTGGCTAGTGCTGCTGGTGGTGTTGGTGGGTGCGCTTGGTGGCTTCTCTCCACCAGGCTGCTCTGACCCCGTGGGAGACAACTGGCTATCATTTACGRTGGCAGTGTCTGGTGGATTGTCCTCTGTTTGTACTGTGGGAGGCTCTTCCTGCTGGCTGACTGAGCTCTGGGCACTGCCCGGGGCCTGCGCGCTGGTGGCCTCCACCTGGGTAAGGGTTTGCACGGACTCTGTTGAAGCATTAGAGAGTTTGTCTTGCCGCAGRTCCTCATTGGATGCTTGCTCCTCCTCCCGAATGGGGGACAGCTCTGTCTCTGTGAAGACGTCCTCTGAAACGGAGCCCTCAGCACTGCGTGAKGCCGTGCTGCTGCCGTCAGTAGCTCCCGGCTCCTTCAGCCGGTGCTCTGGATCCTTCTGCTGGGACGGGTGCCTCTCAGCTGGCAGAGGCTCCAGGTCACTGATGAAGATGAAAGAAAGAGCAAAGAAACCGTTGAAAAGGTTGATATTTTCATGCACKATCTACTATCATTTCTACTGAGAGACATTGGAATGATTTTTATTTTCTCTTTTTATTATTGTGATTAGTTTTTCACAGCAACACACATCAAAACATGAAAATTGGGCTTCTTATTACTTATTTACATCACATATTCTAACATTTAAACTTTGATTTTGCAGATTAAAAGTGATTCAGATATTGCTTTTTTTTTAGAAGCACCACTCTTACATGCTTTTTGAAATGTGTCTAAGATTTATTTTACACTTACTGTATGTTGTCRTTTTTTTCAGGACATTTTTGCACATGCAATGTCTAAGCTGTAAATACCTAAAATGGTGAATTTCTCCCTAAGTCCTGGAAGCTTAATATTAGGCTCTGGTTGATGAGAATATATTGTAAGACCATTCACAGACAAGTCTCTGAACCTGGTATCATAGTTTTCAGGATTGAAGTCTGGATTATAGACAAAATATTTCCTTATTTCAGCATAATTTTTTATCCAATGTTTTCTAATTACTGCAGCCCAGCTCTTCAAGGAGCCAGTTATCAAAGTGTTTTAAGGGTCATTGAGATGAGCGAATAATGAGGGCACTCCACTTCACCAACCAGCTAGAAGTTTAATCTGGGCTGCCTTATAGTATTCTTTTAAACACAGAAGACTAAGAGCCCTCTTTTCTTTACCACAATGCATACTTTGTACCTTATTCTTGTTGTATTCCCTGCCAAAATAAATCTAGAGACCATTTTAACCCATTCTGAAAGGAAGGGTCCTAGTGTCCCAGTCTACACAAACTGAAACAAATAAAGTCTTSTATATAATATCTTATAACCATCCCTGGAATCACAGTTAATAATTTTAATATTTGTTATTGCTTTTCTTTCTTGAGAGGTCTATAACTAACCTCTAGTTTGGTTAGATGTTCAGATGTCACCAATATACAGTATCAGGAAATGTCCTGCATAAACATGAGCATTTAGGAATTAAATGAGCAAAGGTGTGCTGTAAATCATCATCAAACTGCTCCTCTGTAATTCAGTTTATAGTTTAGGGTTTTAAATCCTATGGCTGTGTGGATGCACTACTYAAAACCAGTTAACTTTTACCACCTTGACTTTGAAAGCCTCCACATATTCTATCTGAACTGTCAAAGTCTGCTCTCATTGTCGCAGAAAATCAAAATGATGAAAATCTCGTCATTTTGTTCGCAGATTCAAGTCTTCCACCAATTCTTACAACAACCCCCCCAGGAGAACGTCTGACTTTCCTCTGCATAAAAACTTGTTGTGTGATTGGTCAGAAGTTTGTTGACGTGTTTGTTTACGCTAAAAGCGCTCAGACGCTGCATTTTGTGTCAACTACCGTACTCGCTTCCAGAATCTGACTGTTGTACCAGTAAACAGAAATTTATGARGATAGTCAAACGGCCAAAATGAATGAATGGAGATAAAACAGACGTGCACGGAGGAATCTGTCTCACAAAAACTGTTGTGCTTTAACTGGGACGGATTTGTGGACAAATAACGGTGGATATCAGAGGTGCAGTGATGTACCGCAGAGAGAGGGGTTTCCCAGGAGCTTGGTGGGGTGTGTCACAGAGGCTGTGTGTGGAAAATCAATGTTGAGCAACCACTTGACCATGCATCAACTGTTTGGCTTTGGATAGAGTATAATGGGCTCAGTTCTCCCTGTGCATATGTGGGTTTTCTCTGGGTACTCCAGTTTCCCCCACAGACCAAAGGTTAGTCATGGACCAATCCTCTTTACTTTTTATATGCTKCCATTAGGTAAAGTTAAACAGCATGGGATCAATTTCCATTGTTATGCTGATGATACTCAGTTATATTTATCCATGAAACCTGATGAATCTAAACAGTTACTTAAACTACAAGCATGTCTTAAAGACATAAAACATGGATGAMTCTCAACTTTCTGCTTCTAAATTCAGATAAAACAGAGGTTGTGTTTTTAGGACCTGAACATCTTAGGAATAAACTTTGCAGCCTTTCACCTCCTCTGGATGGCATTAACCTGACCTCTAGTTCAAATGTAAAGAACCTTGGTGTTGTTTTTGATTAGGACATGTCTTTTAACCCCCACATTAAAATTTGTGTTTGCCTGTGTCTCTTTCCTGTCCCCAAAAATTCAACACAATCTGTTGGCTTCTTTAGCTTTATTGTTTTTTGTGTTCAGTGTCCTGAGACGACGCTAGTTGTGACTTGGCGCTATATAAATAAACTCAATTKAATTGTTGGACCTGTCCAGGGTCCAAGAGAAATGGAATCTTATTGTGTTATTATCCAGGGTGAACCCTGCGTCTCACACAGTGACTGAATATAAACACCAGCAACCCCACACAACCCGGAAAGGAGATGTGGGTAAACATTTGTTTAACAAGAGCCAGACCAGAGGGCTGGATAAGTTTATAACCAGACTGAACACAATCAGTCCACTTCCTACACTAAAAACTGCTGGAGGAGAGAGGCAAGACAACCTCCCTTAATTCACCCTGATACCCAGCAATGTCATTGCTATCTTGAGCTAATTCTAATTATATATAATTAAAATTATAATAATAATATTTGTGTTTATGCTGTGATGGACTTGCGACCTGTCCAGGGTGTTCCCCGCCCCTCGCACAGTGACCCCTGCAACCCGGAAAGGAAGCAGCAGGTATAGACAAGGGATGGATGTATTTATGCTTYAAATAATAAAATGTTGCATGGAGAAGAGTGAAACTGAATGACTGCATATCTTTCAGTCAGATCATCACTTTTATGTTGCAATAAATTTCATTACAGCAAGACATATTTTTACATTATTGAGCAGCTTATCTGTGCAGATAAAGCAAGGCAAAAACATTAAACTGCAAGAAACTGGCGAACAGGAGTACAACTATGTATGTTTTGCAGTTCATCTACGCAACAACAGTTTTTTTTGCACAGATATTGTTGTGTTTTGTTTGTGAAAGAAGGTCTCACACACACACAGGAACAACACTCACACCTCACATTGTGTAGACACTTGTTGCTGGGTGTTGTGTTCAGACAGAGAAACAAGCACACAGAAAGAGGTCAGCAGAGAGAGAAGGAAAAATAGAAGACAGATGATGGGCCACAGCTGAGAAAACAGCTGGACTTGGCAAAGWAACCTGCCATTTCCCTGCACAGTAACAACGCTGCTGGCAACACTCGGTCAGCTAAACACAACTCTGCCCCAAAAGGAAACAGGAAAACAGAATCAACWGGCTTCCTTTTGCTCACTACATTGCATTTTCCTTCTGCATTCAGAATATTTGTCTTCAAAAACACTAAAATAGCTYAAGATAAAGTAAATAAATGAAAACATTCAAACCACAAACCTGTAGGAGGAAACACAAACGGATCCTCTGAAATGCCTGCTTCATCCTGCATAATGAGGTGAGCCACTACAATGTAGGAGGGTGAAGTCACACTTCATTAACCCTGGTGTAATTTCTGCTTTTTTATTTTGGTATGAGAAGGGATTAAATCGTGTCGAGTAGTGATGCAGTTTGATCTAGCTGCATCACTGCGAGGCTGACATCAACATGGAAGACGTAAAGTCAAGAATTCATGATGGACTAAGTTAAATGATGGAGTTTATATACAGTATTCATATCTACTAAATGGTTATATAAGTAGTCTTTAACCCTGGCAGAAGTGGTTTACTATAACAACCATAGAGGTCCATATAACAGCTGGAGTGTGTTGAGACCGTGTAACTGTGGGATCCACTGTAGAAGCTACGGTGCTCAACAGAATGGGCAAGAGTCTAGAT